ACAGTTTCTGTTACGACCTTGGTCATGCCAGGTCTAACCAGCCTATCACGCGCAACAAACTGCAGCATTGTATCTGTGCTGGTGTACGGACATGCATGGGTCATGCATTCACGTGGACTAATGGGAAGTAATTACAAATCCACAAATTTGATTGTTGTCCTGCACACTATGTATAGGCAACTGTGTTAGATAGGGGACTACTTGAGCTAGATAGCGTTCGGGATTCGAAAACTGGGACTTAATTCAAAGGGAAACAACTCACCTCCTCTCTTTGCAGTGCGGTCTTGAGGAGATTGAGGAAGTTAAAGGACTTTCCAAGCATATCTGGCTCGCCAATTTTGGTTTGAACCGAGTCCATGTGACTGAGAACAAGCTCTCGCATATCATCCAGGTTTCCAGGATCCAATGCTAATATTCTAGAAATGACGGGGATAAGGTTAGAGGTGGGTCATGATTAAGACATAAATAACTAGAGGCTACATAGTCCAAAATTATCCAATTAAGATAGATCTACATATGGTTCTTTTTATTTCCACTCATAAAACATGGTATCTGTGCATGCATTAGTGTTGTTTGTAGAGTCTTCAATGCTGCTAATTTTATAAATGCTATATACTTTACTCCTAGTGGCGTCTAGAAATGTGGGATTTTCGCCACAGGGAAGAGGTACAGCTCGTGGCTTGGAGGTCCTGAATACACGTCTAACAGCAGGTTAGCTTCAAAATTAATCGCGAATTGAAAAAACAAGTCTTTTAAAAACCGAAAGTAATCCCTCTTTTTCGAGGAAGATTTTTTGCATGCGGCTGAAAAGAGGCTCGTCCAAATGCCGGGATCTTGACGTGATAGATATCTTAAAAATATTCTGCACAATACCTAGTATTACCTCCCTGCTAAACCCAAGATTTTCTAATCGAAAACACTTTCTAAACTTCCGCATAACGTTTCATGAGATGGCTCCTCCATGGCAGATAAAAAAAAGGAGATCAAACATAAAGGTGGCTTCGACCAGCATATCAAATTTCATCTGGACCATGCATGCTGACGTCGGAACGCATTTAAAAAGAATTCACGAATAAAGGTGACATCGTCTGCAACAAACCACTATCCCGTCTGAGACTTGAAAACATAAGATATTTCAAGAAGCTACAACAGAGCTCTAACCATGTTACGTTAAAGTCGCCTGGCAGACTAGGCAGGAAATTCATTTTAATCTCCAGACTTGCTAATTGTAGTTCTGCTGCCAGTAGAAGTAGAGGACAAACGGCTAAGGCTATTGGTATGTTAGCAAGCAGAACATTTGTAGTCTTTTGGATTATATTTGCGAGTTAAAGCGGTGGACGGATAATATGCAATAATAAGTCAATTAGCTCAACATACTTACCTAAGCCTATTACCTGCCATATACTCTTATCTTTTAAAATCGAAGTGCTAATGTCCTGTTCAGATGATCAATCACTAGCTCCATAGAGTCTACTTCCTAAATAAAAATAACGTACGTTTCACTTAAAGTGTGAACCGGCCCTTATTTGGGAGCTGCCTTCAAAGCGTTTTGTTGCCCGAATTTTTATGTCCTAGTCGAAAGCAGCTTCAAAATGTACAAAGGCATAGAAAGACCATAAGTGAATCCATTACGATCGGAACAGTTTGAGAAACGTCTTATAACAGATTCATCTGTTCGGCTGATCAGAGGATATGGCCCGGTGGTCGATGGTGGTCTCCACCTTGTCAGTTATTCGCATAGAAAAAGCCAGTGAATTCGACCCTGGCACCTTTTGATAGAACAATGCCTAAAACGTGGCGTTTGTAGCTCAACTGGTAGAGCATTGGCTTCGCGTAAGGGCCTTCCCTATTATGCGGGTTCAAATCCCGCCGAACGCCGCGAGCTTTATCAAAATTGGGTCAACTTAAAATGAATTTATTTCTGGGTAAAGCCTCCAGTACCGGCTCAGACCTGATAGTGGACTGAGAGGAACTTCTTCTTCCTCCTCAGCAAAAGGCCTTCTGGTTTTCCAATTAAATTAGCAGCCCATGTACGCCACACCACTACCTTCAGGTCCCGCTATGATAATTCTTGATTTGCATCACTCCTCATATGTTGCGAAGCGCTCCTGATCTCTTCCGTGCTAGTAGATTGGGCGCGTAGACGTTGTTTATGCTTATACCCCGACAGGCATGCTAAAACAACAAATGTAACTTGCTCGACTGCAACACAACACCCTGACTCTGAAAGAAGTCAATGAAACTGTACAAACAAAATGTTGGCCTTTACGTACTCCTGACAGGCTTCCAAAAGTTCCCTCTTCCCCTTAGCGCCGCCTTCACGACTCAAGATATTAACGAGGTCGTTTGCTGTGCCCAGAGCCTTTTCCCCACCCGACACTTTCCTGCGAAGAACCCTCTTCAGTAGGGGAATTTTCCTTCTAGTCACATCTGAATAACCTTTAGAACCCCTTCGCAACAGGACAACTTTGCTGCCCGTCTCGCCGCGCTGTCGGCGACCGCCTGCTTTGCGTCCGATGGCTCCGACCCGTTTGGTCTCCACACTGGCCTGTTTCTCACCCCTCACTTGCATCGCGTCGGCGGGGATTTGTACAAGCTGCTTTACCGAACTGCCCCTCATCTTCTTAAATGCGAAGTTCGGTTCATTTGTTATTGCCATTGCCTTCTGTTTTCGCTCCTTTTCCTTCTGCAGCTGGTTACGAAGGTCATCAGCAACCGCCTTCCAGGGTGAGATCGTGGTAGTCGGAGACGGGGAGATCTTACTCCTCCTCCTTGCATACTTTGTCTCAAGTGATCTGCGAAGGTCGATGTTGGGCACAACTGGAATTTCCGGTTTCGGCGCGGAAGCTTCCTCCTTTATAATCTCATCCTCGCCGTCCTTCTTAAGTTCGTCGAGCGTTTGGGTAATTGACTTTCCCGTTGCAAACTAAACAGAAAGTCGAGCAATAAGAACAGTGCTGGGAAGCAAACATCTGAAACGCGTCTTTAGCATAAATAAAGCTGTTCGCCAACCTTAGATATCCCTAGTCACACGATTCTGTCTCACGGAACCGATGGTAATAGGGATTGTATGTGTCGGCAGATCAAGGGAAAGAAAAAATGGCAGGAGTTTCCTTGGTAGCGCACATATATTCTTATTTATATTTAAATGCCTACTCCAACGATTCCCGTAAGACAGAAACTTGGGGCATTTCACACGCGATATCACTATCCCAACCTAACCCTAACCCTTATCCTAACCCTTACCCTAAACATAACTCTAACCCTTACCCTAAACCTTAGCCTAAACCTAACCCTTACCCTAACACCTACCCTAACCCTTACCCGAACCCTAACCCCAGCCCTTACCCTAAACATAAACCTAACCCTTACCCTAATCCTAACCATAACCCTAACCCTAAGCCTAGACATAAACCTAACCCTTACCCTAACCCTATCAGAAATTAATTGTGTAGGTATTTAAATATAAATAAGAACATATGTGCGCTACCAAGGAAACTCCTGCCGAAAAAATAAATAAACTAGTATTAGAGGGTATAAATAGCATCATGTCTGGCGCGCGATAATTAAAATGGGGAATAGAACCAATAGGAATGAAGAACTGCTCAAGGGTACCCGCGAATTGGATATAATTATATACCGAGTATCTATCGAATTTTGGAGATTAAAGTAAAATCAAGAAAGATAAGCTTTACCCCATTTAAAAGAACTCACAATAGCGTCTAATGAATTTGGACATATATTGCAGCA